CCCACGGAGGCTGGGCACCCGGGAAGCCACTGCTGGTTCAGGGGGCACGCAGCAGGCTTCCCGCTGGTCCTTCTTCACCTCAAGGTCAAACACCTAGAGAGAGAAAAAGGTGAGGCTTCGGGAAAGGGACCTGTGGTTCCCCAGTCTGCCCAGCCCATGGATTTCCCTGCAGAAAACACCGCTGCCATCCTTTATGCAGATGACACACCGGGCCCCGCCCCGAGCATGAACCTTTCGACACAGATCTGCTCATTCCACCAGGCAGAGAACCACAAGGTCAAGGCGTGAGGTCATGTCACGACTGAAGCCACTTTCACAATGCCGGGGGAGGAAAGGCCCGGAAATGAGGCTGATAATTTCCCATCCTCACACCACTCAACCCAAACCGACCCTCCCGGAAGGGACAAAAAACAAGAAACCATGTTTACTGCTAGGGAGACCTGTTTTAGACACCCACCAGGACAAATTTCCTGCCTTCTCTTCAAAACAAACCAACACAACACACAAAACCAACACAACACTCAAAACCAACACACTTGCAACTATGAGTAAAAAGTTGCAAAATGATACGGTGTCAAAACCCCTCCGGTGGCCGACCCCTCTTTCCCCTGAGACTATATCATTAAGTTCACTGGATGGCTTATTTATTTATAAACACCACACTTCTGGAGACTGCAAAGCTGTTCCTTACTGACAACAAGTCAGGGACAAAGAAGAGAGGCCACACGGGACGTCATCAGGAAGACAATTATGGGGCAAGCAGAACAGTCGTCCACAATTCTTTATCAACAGCCACACTTCCAAATGGTGTGACCGACAGCAAATACCGTCACCAGCTCGTCACACCCCTCACCCCACAAGACAACCTGCTCCTCTCAGAAAAAACTTTTTACTCTTCAATATCCATTGACGTTTCGGTTACTTAAACCAAACTATATGATTTGAAAAAAAAATAAAGGCAGCGGTCGATGAAAGGCATTCACCGTCAAATACTGACTCCAGAAAGCAGCTTATAAGCTCCGACTCCCACTCCGCTTCAAAACAGACGGGACGCACTGGGCGACGTACATAACATCCTAAATCTGACTTGGACTGGTTTTAGCCCCCGAATAAACTGTTCTTAGAACAAAGGGAAAGAAATAAAAGGGCCTTTGGACAATTTTGTCGCGAAACAGAAAACCTTCCTGACTCAGTCATTCCGGCACGCGGAAACTCCTACCTGAATTCTGTCGGAAATTCTGTAGACATCAGATTCATGCCTCAGTAGGAGGTGTGAAAAGACGAACCGGAAGTTCTTATAAATCGTGGCCCCTCGCCATGGGCAAAATATGATATTTATATCCATTCTATGAAGGAAAGGGACAGGAAGCTGGACCCGTGTGAGGAGGGATCGGCACACAGGAAACTTATTTTGAACCCGACCGCACGAGTGCAATGCATTAATAACAGCTGCGTCAGCCACAGCTCCGCCTTCACCGCGCTTGACCTGGAGGCTCCACATCTGGTGAGTAAAACGGGTCATGCCTTGTAAGTACAGACTGAGAGCTGGGGGTCTTTTGGCAAAACCTTTCCAAAGCCTGGACTCAGAACCCAAACCTGTGGCGGACCGGGGGACCAGACAGCAACGTAACCCACAAGCTCCGATGGAGACTCAACAGACAAGTCCTGCCTCGCCTGTATGGGACGCTCCAAAGCCACCATCTTCTGTGCCCACAGGAAGTAACGCTGGCTGAGGCTCCGCTGGTCTGTGCGTGTGTGTTGGGGGGCGGCGGGGGCGGGTGGAAGGCCCATGTGGAGAAGTGATGCCATCGAGAGAAAGAGCCTGGGTGTGCGGGAAGGTAGGGGCCGCGTCCCAGAGCCACCGTTCATTCATCAGGACGTCCGAGAAGCCGCTAGCTAAGCCTGAATTCTGGTTTTTAAACATCTTTGAGCTCTTTTCCAGCCCTCAGACTTTCCAATGCTGGGAACTGGTCATGATCTACAGAATATTTGGACTGACACTTGAACCAAAGCCCCATAGTTACTAGCCAACAGGAAATGTCACCGGCAGGGCAGGTCACAGGGTCCACAGTGGGCTCTGAGTTCAGTGGTTTTAACCACTTGGAGAGGACAGCAGGGGCAGAAGGCCACCAAGTGATGAAGAGCCCCATTCTGAAAAGGAAAGACTGCCTCCAACTCTGCAAGGTCTTTCTTTCCTAGTTCAGTGGTTTTTTCAAAGTAAGATGGGTATCTCTGACTATTACTCAAATATTGAGAAGGTCACTTGACAGAAAAAAAATCGTTTTAAAAACCAGCTGTTGTTATAAGCGAAGAAAGCCTCAAAGGCCCAAGTAACAGCGGAGTAAATGGAAGCTGCAGGCTTCTGGTGCCTCTGGATGAATGGATGGATGGATGGATGGATGGATGGATAGAAGGAAATAGATATTCT